ACAAATTTATTTATCATATCAAGCTTGAAACAACAAGATGCCTAAGTTCGTTTGTGAAATGCAAGATGAATATTCACTTTGTATCATTTGAGTTGAATAACTTGTATTATATGAAGATCAAATAACTATCGGAAGAATCAATGAAGTTACTACTATGATACAATGTTATGTTAAGAAATTTCAGCAGAAGCTTGTGATATTTTTGCTTCAACTGTAAGTTCTTATTTATCAATTTTTTGTTTCTTCGGTAAGTAGTAAACTATATATCAATGGAATCAATTCTCCGATAGACAGAATCTTATATACTTGCCCATAATTTTTTTTAGTTTTATTCTAAACTGAAGCTTATAAATTGTCTGAAAAGCTGTATAATGGAGATAACAACAGAAAATTAGAGAAACTAAGCCTAAGTAATTATTGGAAACAATGCAAAATATAAATGTTGGGCCTGTGCTGAGCACAAGCCATACCTATCTAGTATATATAAACTAGATATAGGACCCCGTGCCAGCACGGGGCCCAATATATGTTACCGTTTCTGTTTTAATTTATGTGGTACATATGAAATTTGAAGTTAATCAATTTTTTAGTATGTTTTACGTAAATATATTATAAATCACAATAATTAACAAGTTAATATAAAAAAACTTATAAAAATTAATTGACTTTTGAAATTTCATTTGTATCACATAAATCAGGGCAAAGCGAGTAATATATATGAAAATTACACAAAACATACTATAACTCACAATAATTACGAACTTAAAATATCCATATATCTATATTTCTCCCAATTTATGCGGTATAGATGAAATTTTTAAACTTAACAAAAACTTTTTTATATGTTTTCAAATATTTTAAGCTATTAATTATTATGATTTATAATACTTTTTACATAAAAAATTTATTTATATAAAGTATAAAAGAAAAAAATTTAAAAAAGGAAACATAAATATCAGCAGGAGTCCAATCTATGTTAATTTTTATGTTTTAATTATTGTAATACTGATTGAATTTAGAGAGCCAACTAAATTTTTTTAAAGGATTTTTTTAATAAATTTTAAGTTGTTAATTATTATAATTTATAATATTTTTATTAATTTTAAACCAATATATGTTTTTCTCTGTCTCAATTACATGAGACATATGGAATTCAGAGAGTCAACTAAAATTTTAAAATATGTTAAGTTGTTAATTATTATACCTTATAGTACTATTACGTGATTTTCAAATAAAATATGTAACTTTTTTATTTCAATTTATATGTCATTGATATAATTACATATATTAAGTAATGAAGAATTAATGTGTAAATTATGTGACACCTATGAATTTTGGAGTGTAAATCAAATTAGTTATATGATTTTTTTTTAAAAAGCGGTTAATTATTATAATTTATAATACTTTTTATATATTTTTTAAATGATATATATATAT